GTAATGGTTCTTACGTTTTTAAATTTGTTTAGAACTTTTTAAAAGACGTACAAAGGATAAAGACCACAACAAAGAAAGTAGTAACAGGCCATAAGGATTAATTATCATCAAGGCGAATAAAAATCTTAGAATCTTGATTTATTTGGCAACGATCTTTACACAGACAACACTAGGGAGTCAACCAAGTAGGTAATCACAACTGAAAACATGGCGCGCTCTTCGTCGAATTAAACCAGTGAAACTAAACAAGTACTTGCTGAATTCAGTTACCTGAAAATAGAAGCCTCTTTCACCTTCGAAACGATCACGTCGGATGTGACCTGCGTTTCGGTTCAGATCTGAACCATTGTTCTTTAAAGGAGATGGAATTGCACTCTCAGGGGGCAAATGTCTCAAAGCCAGTAAGAATTTCAAGGTTATAGAAATACATGAAATCGTGTTCTAAATAAAACACTTGACCAGAATGTAGGCTATTCCGCAGACAAAGAAATCTGTTTGAGAGTCAATTAACGCCTTTGAAAATGGATTGCCTTGTTTCAGGTGATCGGTGTATTGTATTTGTATTTGTTTTAATATAATCGACTAAGATTGATCACAGTGAGAGAGATAAAGCAGAAAATGCAGTGTTTGAAAACAAGGCAGTTCGCCTGCAGTAAGCCATCACACTACTCGCTTCTTGGCTATATCCATGTTTGTCAGCTCACTTTATCGCAAACTACAATCAGCCAGACGGAGAAGCAACAATTTCCCGTGTTCTCCTTTAAAACGTTCAGATAAGTAGCCATACGCAGCTGATAACAGCGTGTTTAATGTTGGCGTAAGAAGAATAATTTAGGTCCTAATTGGGTCCAAATCGTGTACTATTACAGAAGCGGAATTTAAACTGTGGTTTTCGATGCTGAAGTCATAACTTGTATAGGAGGGACTTATTTATTTTTAACGTCGTACATACAGGGAAATAATCTTGTTCAGCCACGACGCATCTAGTTTAATTGCAACAACCAAGTGACCACAAAACGCGACGTTGTTTCAGGACCTGTTTCCATGGCTACACGACCTCACGGTACCGCATCGCGCATGCGCGTCAAACAGGCGAAACAATGCATTATGGGAAGAAATACTTTTGCTTCTGTTTCCTCACAATGCATTTAATTACAGGCCTAACCTGTTTTCTTTTGAGTGGCCGAGAAATTTATTACTCGCACTGACGTAAAAACGTAAATTGAAGGTGTCTGCGAACAATGTGTTGACGAGAATACTCGGACATTAGAAAGAAGACATGATAGGAAGCTGGAAAGAATCTCATGTCGAAGATCTTCATGGTCCTTGTTATTGATCTGCTGTTATTCTGTCAAGACTGGTGGCGCGGACGGGTCACGTAGCACGCAAGGGAGAAATGAAAGAAAAATGGCCGAAATGTTAAAGGATTGTCAGTAAACCTAAAAAGAAGATACATCTCGGAAGACCAAAGCGTTGATGGTACGATAATGTTAATATAGTAAGGTAGAAGGTTGTGGACTGGATTCATCTGGCTCAGGATTGGGGCGGGCTGTTGAACGGCTTGTGAACGTGGAACAAATCTTTCGGTTTTAGTTCCTGAGCGATTGTTGGCTTCCCGACAGGAAATATTCTTCATGGAATCATTAAAATTATTTTAATTTCGTCACAAACCTCGGTTCTGATTTTTATCACTTTCTAGAAAAGGAACCAAGATAATAGATTTCTTCTGGGCTGTTGCGCCATTTAGTTTGGTAGAAGTTCACCGACGTTTCAAAGGTCCTAGCTCTCTCAATCATCGCCCTGATGATGGAGGCAGCAGCCATGTTCAGACTCACCGCCGTGAAAACCTCAAATCCTACAAGAGGAACCGAGTTGTTGCTTTGTTTGGCGGAGTGTCCACAAAACCTCCGGAGCCGTATCAGTTGCTCTCCTAACACACCCATACGCTAAGCTGTACTAATATTGCCAGCAACTGAATCTCACAGCAGGAAGTGAGTGAATTCGCTTCGTCAGTTCGAGCCCACACAATCGACCAACAGCTGGGGGCTGTGCTAGCGCCAAGGAGAATACACCAAGCGGTTATCGAAATGGAATTTACGTTGTCTGCAAGTCATTGCGGGACTGTGGATCAGCAAATGAAAAGCGAACGTACGTCTCCTTGTTCCGGGCCGGCTACATTGACAAGTGATGCTTCCCGTGGAGAGAGATTTTCCGCAGTTGATACTGTAATTGATACTTGCCATCATTAATCTACCTGTTGGGCCCTCTGTTGTCTTTAGTAATAATATTATTCATGTTTCTTCGTGCACAGCTCCACTAAATATGGCGTATCAACGAGATGTGTTGGAAGCTTTTTCAGCTATCGTAAGGCCTCCTTTATATGAATCAAGACTTTACTATTCATAATTAATCAATCTGATGTATGTTCTGGGATATTTTTCCTTTTTCTGTTTTATAAAAAACTCGGTTATTTCTTTTAACAACATCAGCAATTTGATCGATGTCATGGAGACGCGTTGTGTTTCTCTGCGGTGAGACCAACCTTTTGGCTTCAAAAGAATGGGATATGCGGGGCTTCGTGTGTGAATCAAACTCCCCATTCCACATCTGAGTAAACGGGACGCGCTTTTATATTCAGGACGCGAGTCTCAAAGTTCACGCGCCGATTGACCTCTGGTATCTGAAGAGATTCGAACCAGTCCCCATACAAAATACAGAGTTACAGCTGAGGCCGAACTCAAAGATGCGTTAAACTGCTACTGCTGTTCTTGGCGTCAACATTATCTGCCTCTCGTAAGATACAATTTAATATCTTATTTAAAACGAGAAGCTATGAATAGGGAAAACTGGCGAACTCTTTTTGGGCAGAACAATGGACCTGTCGTCAGACAGAACACTAAATAATAATAATAATAACCCCTCTGTATCCTGGTTTATCAACTGATGGTTTGCAGACCGCTGCTGGCCCGAGGCTTACTTTGCGTTAATCCTCATGTAGGATTACTTTCCGAGATGTGGATGATAGCTGCTAATGAATTGAATAAACACGGTAACAAACGTTTGGTCTACATAAAACGCTGGAAATTTCTTGATTGCCTGATCGATTCTTGGCTTCTTAAGGACATTTCCCCGCGGAGTTAGTTGGAAGCATTTTGAGCCAGCTACTTAAGCCGTTCGTTGGGTCTGAAGGTTTTCATTTGTCGATTTTGAATGATTGTTGCTTCAGAATGAATTTGGAACTGGAACGAAGGTCGATGTCACTAACAGCAGGCCTTAATGGAATATCAATTTGTGTCGCCCTTACAAACTTCAATAATAAGTGAAACATGAACGTGGTTTCGTCTGGTACGAAGCGTTCTGGAATTTTGGCAACATAGAATCACCAAATCGTGTGCAAGAAAATATAAGACCTAACAGAACGGTAATAGTACAAATATGTACATTTTCTTTGAATATTGTATATTTTATTAGAGTCAGTCAATGAAAGAATATTTTAAGCTACAGGTGTATTCTGTAGCTTTGACCTAAGTAAAATATTATACTAAATAAGTAGACTGACTTCATAAGATCAATTTTGTCTGTATATAATACAATATTTGTACAGTAGTTGATTTTTTGTGTTCACTACCTGTCATTATTACACTATGATTTGCTGGTAATAAAGCAGCAACAACAACAACAACAACAACAATAATTCAATTCAGATCGATAATTTTTTGTTTTTTATTATAAGGATTATGGGATCGCACGAAGTGAGTTAAGAAAGTGAACTCTTCAAATTAGCTTAGACCACTCCTGCATTTAAATCTCTGTATCCTCGTTATGTGTTTGCATAAAAGCGACATGGTTGAGGCAGGCCGTAGGCAAAGGAGCATGCAGATTATGCAGTCAGCGACTGCACTTACTGGTGCTGATAATACCAAGAACTTTAATTAGCCTGATGGCCGTAAAGACACCCACAATTTTATCAGAGGCGGCAATCAGGGGCTCCCTCAGCGGGGAAATATATCAGGAAATTAAATGAGCTCTTCTTATGAAAGCAGCGGCTAATGTAATATATACAGCACCTAATATCTCGCCGGAATCACCACGACTCCAATAAATATTAATATATCAATAAAAAAGCTATGTTTGTAATAGGATGTACATACAACACACCAATTAATATATTTATTTAAGTAATATTTCATTTTAATCGTAATCTTTATACCTGAAGGGAAGATACCATTTCGTAGACATGGTATGGATGTGAGGACAATACTAAAATGGAAATAAAAGAAATTGGTCCATTACTAGTCTTTTTATTTTACATCGAGAAGTCATATTGTCCAGGTCGGTTAATTGGTTATCGCTGATAGAACATTTTGTTTCGTAATGACAGGACGATGCTCCTCGTTGTATATTTTTCCATTCTGTTACTTTCTTTTTCATAGGTTCAGACTTTCTCCTCAGAAATTTATTCTCAAACACTCTGTATATAATATGAATATATATGTATCTAGGAGAATATGTGGAGTTAATAAGTTGATGATACAGACTTCATGTTTTGTATTTATGTTCGTAAGAAATCGCCACATACATCAATGTGAAACTTCTGTGAAATGAAAAAAAAAAAAAAAAAGTGGGTGGGGGAAGTAGTCTCCTACAAAGTTAACTTTCGCTGCCGTTGACACACGGAAGTTGCATGTGTCCGTCGTTTGCGGCCTACGTCGTAAAGTGCCCTACGTCTAATCAGTAAAGCAAAGACATTTAAGAATGAGTCACACATTTGTCTTTTCGCTACCTCGGTTTTTTTTTACAGGTATCAGAGATTTCCCACGTGCGGTAGGAGTCTGGAAAAGTGTGTACGTTCACAGCTGAGAATTAGGTAAAATCCACGTGTCAAACACCGCGTCCAGATTTGCTATGGGGCCTATGAACACCTTCATACCTCGTCTGTCTCTCAAGAGGTTCCTTTGCTTCAGGTTTTCTTTAGCGTTTCTTATTCGTTTCTAATTTTCTCAATATAAACTACAGATACAGGTCCCTCCGACCTCCTCTTCCTCCTCCTCCTCCACCTCCTCTTCCTCATCTTCCTCCTGCTGCTCTTCCTCTTCCTCGTCTTCCTCCTCCTTCTCTACCTCCACCTCTTCCCCCTCCTCTTCCTTCTCTTCCTCCTCTTCCTCCACCTCCTCTTCCTTCCCCTCCTCTTCCTCCGCCTTCTTCCTCCTCTTCCTCCGCCTCCCTCCTCGTCTTCCTCCTCCTTCTCTTCCTCCACCTCCTCTTCCTTCCCCTCCTCTTCCTCCGCCTTCTTCCTCCTCGTCTTCCTCCGCCTCCGCCTCCTCTTCCTTCCCCTCCTCTTCCTCCGCCTTCTTCCTCCTCGTCTTCCTCCGCCTCCGCCTCCTCTTCCTCCTCCTTCTCTTCCTCCACCTCCTCTTCCTCCTCTTCCTCTTCCTCCTCCTTCTCTTCCTCC